TTGCACTTCACTCATATGTGTCGATGCTTTCATTATTTTTACAACGGGTTGCAACACACCTTGACAAATTTCGATTCTCTTGGCCCAATCTTGTAATGTTCGTACCGCTGGCAGTGGAAAACCTTTCTTATATAGTAATTTATACGCTTTTGCGCTTGCGGCATACAAAGTTATTGATTGGGCTATGTCCTTCTCGGTCCAGGCTTGTCTCCTAATGCCGTTCTTTAATTTGGTAATCTGCCCCTTTGTAAATATGGTCTCCAGCTTATTTTCCATATTTATGCACGCATGCTCCGCTGCTACTGCCCTTTTTTCCAAACCTCTATATCATATGCACGCTTTTTCTCCTTCATATAATAACTGCGCTTTAAAAGTGTAATCTCGGACTGAACCCTTTTGTTTTCTTTGCTTAATCGCACATTTTCTTGACGCTCGGATTCCCTATTAAAATTTGTTTCATGAAAATGTATCTATAAATAAATATGTATATTAATATTTTTATTCTAATACTTACAACTGCTTTTTCAAATCCTCTATTTTCTGTGTAAAACTATAGTATCTAACGCTTTCGTGTGATGTTGATGGCCCTTCGGCCATACTGCTTTGAAATGAAGAGTTCTCCTTGTTTTCTTCCTCGACAATTGAACTTCGTTTTCCTTGTATGAAGTACTTGTTTCATGCCGCTGAAGTAGTTCAGCAACAATCATTTTATTTTCCCGGCGATGAGCTCGTTCGATACGTTCCGGATTCTTAATTTGTTTTTTGTAAATGGTTGGCACAACACCTCGTTTTAAAGCCCGTTTCTTTGCAAAGCCTTAGAAACAATAAAAAAAAATGATTTTATAGCGATACGTACATACATAAAATTAATAAAACTTCTTACCCATTTGGTACTTAAGACTATTTTCAAAGTCCTCACTGGAAAAGTGATCCATGCACACGTAGCCGGTCTTTGGATTAAAATCTTTATCCTGCCGGCAGAATTTTATCCATTTTCTGGCAAGATTGGGATCAGCGGGAAAACGAAATAAACTACATTCTGATGCTTTGTTATTATTGGTTTTACCACAGCTTATTACGGCGCACTTCATTATTGATACTAATATATCGATGGCTGAGTGGAAGATCGACCTATCTCGGCAGCCAGTTCGAAAACGCCTTATTTCAGAAAATTTTTGAACAAAGCTCTATTTCAGAATTTAGTTGAAGAACGCCCTATCTCATAATTTTATTGAAGAACGCCCTATTTCAGAATTCGGTTCATAAACGCCCTATCCCAGCTGCCTCTTCAAAAACGCCCTTTCTCAGAATTCGATTGAACAACGCTCTATCTCAGAATTTAGTTGAACAAAGCCCTATCTGAGAATTTTATTTATAAACGCCCTATCTCAGCTGCCGTTCCGAAAACGCCCTGTCTCAGGATTTGATTGAACAACGCCCTATCTCAGAAAATGGCTCAATATCGACCTATCTGAGCTGCCGCTTTAAGAAAGCATTATCTTCAGTATGGTTTTTATTCTTGAAAAAATTGTGGTACAGTGAAAATAATTACTGTGAAAGCATTTTGTTTTCACATTAACTNCGCCCTATCTCAGAAAATGGCTCAATATCGACCTATCTGAGCTGCCGCTTTAAGAAAGCATTATCTTCAGTATGGTTTTTATTCTTGAAAAAATTGTGGTACAGTGAAAATAATTACTGTGAAAGCATTTCGTTTTCACATTAACTATTGAGAGTGACCAGCGGGGCAAACACCTCAATCGACCAGCCCGAATACCGTCGACTGTTAGACGCATGGTCTACGAGCACATCGAATCTTATCCGAAAATAGATTCGCATTATTGTAGGAAAATGACCAATAAGCGCTACTTAGGTGAAAGTTTATGTTAAAAAAAAATGTACGAAATGTACAAAGAATTGATGGCACAACAAGACACAGAGCAGGTGTCTGAACATCTATACAGAGAAATTTTCAACACACAGTATAATATAGAATTTCACAAACCAAAAAAGGATCTTTGCGATGAGTGCNTACGCGCACATCGAATCTTATCCGAAAATAGATTCGCATTATTGTAGGAAAATGACCAATAAGCGCTACTTAGGTGAAAGTTTATGTTAAAAAAAAATGTACGAAATGTACAAAGAATTGATGGCACAACAAGACACAGAGCAGGTGTCTGAACATCTATACAGAGAAATTTTCAACACACAGTATAATATAGAATTTCACAAACCAAAAAAGGATCTTTGCGATGAGTGCACAGCATATGACCAGATGTCAGAAATAGATAAAATGTCCTGTGCTAAAAAGCATGATGAGCATATTTCAAATAAAATAAAAGCTCGAGAGATGATGGCAAAAGATNGGATCCGTACGATAACTCGAAAATAAAAATGTCGAAAGAGAAATGTCGAAATTTAAAAATTTTTTAAATCTCGAAATAATGTTTAACCGAAACGCAAAATGTCGAAATCGTATGCTTTCGAAATGAATGAGGTCGAAAAAAATGCAAAACGCGTAAATTGTCGATAAAAAGTCGAAAAAGTTGAATGTGTGAAAAAAATAAATATTAAAAGTGTTCTGAGTAGATTTTCAAATGTTCTAGAGTTCCTAAGATTGAAAAAGAAAGCTCTGCAAAATTACGCAGAAAAAAAATTTTTTAGCGTGTTATTTAAATTGATTTTAACTTTTTGAAAACATGGCAACTCTCTAAAAATATTTCTACAATAAAGCATTCTCGTTTGATACCCACATTAAAATATTTCGTTTAAACTTTTTCAAAGAATTGATTTTAACTTTTTAAACAAATAGCAACCGTCTTAAAGTATATTTAGTTATCAATTAATTGACTTTTACTTTTTTAACAGGCGGCAACCCTATTACACAATACTTCCGAAATATATAGTTTCTGAACCGCTTTCGCTTGCTAATATTTTGTTAAACTTGTTAATTAAGCGGTTTTTTTTCGAAAGAGGTGGCAACTCCAAAAAATATTTTATATGCTAGTATATTATATCTATATTCCAAATTTAATTGAAATATATCCAGACGTTTTAGCGTGAACGAGCAACAAACATACTCATTCACAAACTTTCACATTTATATATTAGTACATAGGATTAGTGGAATTTAACTTAAATAAATCAACCTGTTGAAATAATGTAATGAATGATGTGTAAAATTCGCGCGAATTTCTTGGTTTTCTAACTATTTTTTTTTACATTTTTTTTCGGTGTTTTTAGTTTCGACAATTTAAATTTCGACATATCGTACCAGACCCCGAGAGATGATGGCAAAAGATAAAGAGCAAGCAAAAGAAGATTCAACTATTTGCACAGCTTGCTTTGACATGGAAGAAACCTTGACAACCCCTAGAACTAATGTATCTATGAGCTATTACAAGCGGAAGCTCCATATTTATAATTTCACTATATGTGACCTGGTCTACGGAAAGGGGGCTTAGGTGTCAAAAAATCAATTTTCACTTTTTGGTTGATTCGGATGGAAGATGAGATGCTTTTTCACGTGGTGAAAAGCAGAAAATCCTAACTTGCTTAGAAGTGTACTAAAAATGTAGAGAAAGAAGAGTAAAAATACGACAAAATATAATTTATTTACACGATGAACTATAATAATATTCCGACCAACAACAACACTTACTGGACCAACAACAACACTTACTGGACGTCCGGCGCGGAGAACAATTAACGAGATAATGAGAAACTGACGAAACGAGTTGCTTACTTTTAACAGCTTTTTCACAGAAAACTAGTTTTCGCACGTAAGCTCCCTTCGTAGTCCAGGTCACATATATGAAATGAATACCCACCAAGGTTCGTGACATGTGTGGAATGAAACGGTGGGTGGCAAAGGAGCCAACGAAATTAGTAG